CGAGGTGGGGCCGGGGCGGGCCCGGCCCGAGGAGCTGTCGGCTGTCACTTGGCTCGGCCGCTCCGCCCGGCTCCGACGTCTCCGCGGAATCCTCTTCACCCGTTAAGTCTCTTTCTAGTTTTAATTTGTTTTCCGCTGCTTGTCGTACCGGGGGTGGCTGACGAAGGGAGAGGGTCGGGGTGTTCCGTTTCGCTGTTGTCTTTTCGCGTTGTGGGGGAAACCGCCTACCCCGGGTGTTTCTGCGGAGAAACAGAACCCGCGGTGGCCCCGCTGCCCTCGGAGCCGCCCCGAGCACCGGGACGGCGCTTTTAAAGTTTAAATGTCGCTTTGCTCGTGCCTGTGCTGTGCCAGGGCGTCCTGCCCCGGCATTGCGGCATAGCTGTGTCTGCCCGCTCAAAGTTCTCCTGACATCCCCGGGAACATCTGCCCCGAGCGTTCTCTGACTTCATCGGTGCCATTCACTGTGCCTGTTGGAGGCATGAAGGCTTCTATATGAGTATGACTGTGTTGGGTTTTGTTTTGGTTTTGTTTTTTTCCCTGTGGATGCAGTTTTTGTGGTATATTGCCTGCTGTCGGTGTAGTTTTTGTGGAATAGTTAGGGTTGTCAGGCACTGTAGTGGGCTGCCCAGGGAGGTGGTGGAGTCACCATCCCCAGAGATGTTTAGGATGTGTCTGGGTCTGGTTTAGTGGTTTAAGTGGTGCAGTCGGTGAATGATTTGACTTGATGATCTTCAAGGTCTCTTCCAACCTTGACTATTTTCTGATTCTCTGATTGTTTCTGTCTCTGGATATAAGCTGTAGCTCAGCAGCCAAGCATCTCCGGGCACATTGTGTAAGTTTGCAGGTAGAGGTTTGTCTGTCAAATAGTTTCATTGTGTAGGTGAACAGTCCACTGTCTAGAAATTGAAAATTTAACACCTTTCTGGCTGTTTGGGGTGGAGGGGGGGTGGTCATCTTAAGCTGCTTCGACTGTTGTACTGATTTGAAAACTCAAAGTACTGTGACCAAAAGC